GAAATTTGTTCATAAAATTGACATACTGGGATTTTTCAAAATCTCAATATGATGTGACACTATGGTTTCTCTCTCTCTCTCTCTCTCTCCCTAATGGTCTTTAAAGTGGTTTTTCTTTGTCTAAAATATATGATTTTAAAAGCACAACAATACTTAGGAACAATTTCCTAAAATCCTCACCCATGCAAGGTGGTGGGCTAGGTGCTCCAAAGGATCAATTTTACAGAAAGGAAAAAGGAATTTCATGTCATTCAGCTTCTTGTGGTGTTGCCAAATTCTTTCATTCCTTCATTCATATGAGTTTGTGTACAGTTTCTTTAATTATCAAAGGTATAAAAGACCATAACACAAAACGAGAAAGACAATAAATACAGATTGTAAAATAACAGTTATAGTCCCAGTTTTGTAACTAACAATTTATGGATTCCTGAGTAAGTCCCTTTACTTGCCTGGGCACCCATTTCTAATCTGGATAGTGAGAGAATTGAGTTTTATTGCTTACAACGTCCCTTCCAGGCATAGGAGAGTAGATCCCTAAACAAGTGGCACACTGACAATTAATCCTTTCTGATGCCTAAAGGGGAAAATGTATTCAATAAAGTTGTATGCATTATTGCCATCTTGAAGGTTTATAAAGCACATGATAACATTAAAGAGACTGAGATGCCCTGCAATAAAGAAACTCCTATAACCACCACTCCCAAACTGATTTAGCCAGGAAATTTTCTTTTCTTGTATTAGCTGTTAGTATTCTGTAACACTAATGCTCCTCAAAATATACTCTGGAAAACGATGAAAGGAAATATCAACTGATGTTTTTATAATACCTATACAATCCTCTCTTGCATTTTGAAGCTTAAAATAAACATTCATTACAGGGGTGGATTTAAATAAACATGATATTGATCATACACGACCACCATTCTTCTTCTAATCTCCAGAGAGAGAATTCTGGAATAAAACAAGAACAAAATAAAAGATGCATAATGGGGCTTCCATTCCAAGAGATAAAATCTTTGGTCATAAAATCAAAGTGGTTAGCTAGGGACTGAGAGAAGAGAGGTATGGGAAGTGATTACTTAAAGGTTATGGGATATTCTTCTGGGATAATGAAAAGGTTTTGAAACTAGAGAGAAGTCATGGTTGTACAATATTATGAATGCACTAAACCACTCAGTTATGCACTTTAAAATGGTTAATTGTATGCTATGTGAATTTCAACTCAATTTTAAAAAGAGCGAAGAGAGGTATGGGAAGTGATTACTTAAAGGTTATGGGATATTCTTCTGGGATAATGAAAAAGTTTTGAAACTAGAGAGAAGTCATGGTTGTACAATATTATGAATGCACTAAATCACTCAGTTATGCACTTTAAAATGGTTAATTGTATGCTATGTGAATTTCAACTCAATTTTAAAAAGAGCAGGGCCTTTGCTAGCACAACTTCACTAAAAATTTTAAAAAGCACCATCTTTGGGTAGACACAGACCCAGGGGTACACAGTTTGTTGCACCTACAGCATCCTGGTGTGAAGAACAATATGCTCCTTCCTCTGAACGGATAGAGCTTCACATCACGGCATGACCTATATGTCTATACTCAAGGGCCATCCCACGGGGCCAACAGTTTATTCCCCTCACGTGAAGCTCTCTTGTCTCCCAACAGGATGAGGAAGTTTAGGCTGGAAGCACATTTTACTTAGAAAGGCTTCAGCTCAGAAACTCTAAAAAGAGCCACGTTGACATTCAGGAGACAAGAGAGAGATCTTGTTATTTGGTTTAGGGTAAAAATTGGAGGTGAGAGGAGGTCCTCGATGTTTATGTGTTGTTCAGTCCAGGTCACTAGGATGGAAGCCCAGAAGAGAAGCACAGAAGCCCTGGGCAGGAATGGTGTGTTCATTTGACTGTTGTATCAACCATGGCTTATATCTCAAGAATCTAAGTAAGGCAGTTGCAACCAGATTAGAGAACTAGGAAAATGGAAGTGAAAGAACTGGGAGATCCCCAAAAACTTGTAACTGGAAAATCAAAACCCTGACATCTTAAAGGAAAATAATTCAAAACATTAGTGTCCGTGTTCAACAGAAGTCAAATATTCAAGAGTAACAGACAGACATTCTTTCTTCTTATGGTACTGGAATTGTCTGGGCCCCAAAACTTAAATGAAGTAATGAAAACCAAAGAGAATTAGCACAGTAATAAGAAAGTATGATATATAAATACACAGTGGGATAATACTCAGCCTTAAAAAAAGGAAGGAAATCCTGTCATTTACAACATGAATGAACCTGGAGGGTAATATGTTAAGTGAAATAAGCCAGGCACAGAAGGATAAATACCGCATAATTTCACTTATATAAGGAGTCTAAAAAAGTTGAACTCCTAGAAGTAGAGAGTAGAGTGGTGGTTACCAGGGGCTGGGGAAGGGGAGTTAGGAGATATGGGTCAAAGGATAAAAATTTCAATCAGGAGGAATATGTTCAAGGGATCTCTTACAGAACACAATGACTGTAGTTAGTAATGTATAGCATCCTTGAAAATTGCTAAGAGAGTAGATTTTAAGAGTTCTCACCTCAAAAAAAAAAGTATGTGAAATAAGGTATATATTAATAAGCTCAATTTAGCATTCTACAATGGATACATATTCAAAACCACATGTGGTACACAATAAATATGTACATTTTATTTGTCAATTAAAAATAAATAAATGAAATTTAAATATAAAGATACTGTGTTTCTTCCTCAAAGAAGACCACAGAAAGAGGTGCCCAGCATTTAAACATCATAGTAAATCTCCACAGAGAAACATCACAGATGATTTCGGCTTGTTACTCATATTCCATGGAAACCAATCAAGAAGACATGGGTTTATATGGTAGGAGAAAAGATTCTGGTTAAATTTTATTTTCTTGATTTACTTAGGAGAGGTAAGGGAATGTTCAGATTAGTCTTTATTCTGTGGCAGAGGATTAGTATTCTCAAATTTCAAGTATCAGATCCTATTCTTAATAATTCTCTAAGGGTAACTAAAGAGCCGAAACATGAAAATTGAATTAAATTCTGCACTGAGGGAAATGTTAAAAACAGTGCCACGGTAGAAAAGCACATAAATGGAGACCCAATATGTAATAGTACTCTCTCCAGTGCCCTTGTTAGTAATTTACTTCAACTCTTCAAATAGCTAAATGTTTTGCAAAGGGAGATAAATCTTTTAGTACCAAAGATTCAGCCAAATTTAGATATAAATTAAATAGATCCTGAGATTGTAATCATAACAAATCCACATATTTCAAGCATCCCAAGTAAAAAATTAGCTAATCCAAGAACCTGTGATGTACCTTTGCTTTAGAAGAAGCACAAGCTTCACAGAGAATCACAGCTTTTAATTCAAATTTGATATGGGATTTGAAAAATATATCTTAGTTCTGACTTGGGAAAAGTTATGACCTAAACTTATGAACTAACACTTGATGTTCTGGTTCAAACCTTGTGTCATTTTAAATCCCATTTCTCTATAATCAAGCCCACACTCCTTGCAGGTCAGGTCACCTTCCATTGCACTTCAACAAAACCCTCCCCTTGACCTTCATCAGTTGCCTCATTCAAGTTATATAAACTTTCCATCTGACTGGACTGGTTTTTAAAACCTACAATAAACTGCATACTGCAGATCTAACACACTATAGTATATCACGTACTCCAGGGTTACGTTGAATGTGACTATTATTCAGTTAACATTTAAATCTATACAACATACCAAGATAAAAGATTAGACTAAGCTACAAGTCAGGTAAGTTCACTTTTTTTTTTTTTTTTGGCCTTTTTGTGACCGGCCGCACCGCGCTCAGCCAGTGAGCACACCGGTCATCCCTATATAGGATCCGAACCCGCGGCGGGAGTGCTGCTGCGCTCCCAGCACTGCACTCTCCCGAGTGCGCCACGGGCTCAGCCCGTAAGTTAACATTTTTAGCACTTGAGATTTTCTTGAAGTATGCTTACTATGCTGTTAAAAAAATAAATAAGTAAAATCTCTAGGAAAGTCTCCAATAGACAGTGTTATTACTTACCCTGAGCTCTGCCTTCCTTCCCTTTACTCTCAAAAGAGTCTGTAATGAAGTGAGCAAATTTTCATATCGTGCTTTCACCCTTTGATTTTCCTTAGAACAATCGCTTACATCAAAAAAAAAAAAAAGAGGGAATTGACTATAGTGGATAAAAGAGTTTAGTTTGGAGTTAGGTGCTGTGGGTTCAAATCTCAGATTCACCACTTGTTAATGTGAACTTGGGCAAGTTACTTAAAATCATGTTTTCCTCACATGAATCATGGGGTAGCAATGGAACATACACCATAGGATTGCACTGAAAATTAGTGAATTGATACAGGCAAAGTATCAAAACCATTGAGGCTCATAACAAGTGCTACAAAACTGTTATCCATAACAATTCATCCACATTTTCCAGGCCTGAAGAAAGCATCCCTTCTGGCCAACTGCATCTAGCCTTGCTCCACAGTCAAAGCGAAGATGAAAAAGTTGAGAAGGAGCAGCAGTCAAAATTAGAGGCCACGTTGCTGGAAATTAAACCGTCATGTGAGACCCAACAGCCCAATTGTAAGGATCAACACTGAGTAATATTGACACTCCTAATAGGTGAGGCATCAGTCTATTATTCTTTGGGCAATGAGAAAATTTTAACAAATGTGGGGATTAGGGGTTATGCTCCCAACGAATACTAATGACTATGTGACCATGGTAAAAAAAAACCTTAATTGAAGACCAAATATAATCAACTTTTAAAGGCTTTCAGAAGGTTGAACAAATAACTCCAGGGCAGGCCAATTATCATTCAGGGGCAAATTCTTTAAACACAAACAAGGAAGAGACTTTGGGAATTATGTAAATAGTAGTTGGCCAGGGCTTATAAAAGGCCCAGCGTGGAAGTCACCACCAAAACCCAAAATCTTCTCCAAGCAACCCATACCTCAGACCAACTCCTGACACCATGGCCTGCTGTACCACTAGCTTCTGTGGATTTCCCAGCTGCTCCTGTTGTGGGAACTGTGGCTCCAGCTGCTGCCAGCCAAGCTGCTGCCAACCAAGCTGCTGCCAGCCGAGCTGCTGCCAGACCAGCTGCTGCCAGCCAAGCTGCTGCCAGACCAGCTGCTGCCAGCCGAGCTGCTGCCAGCCGAGCTGCTGCCAGCCAAGCTGCTGTGGAACCAGCTGTGGCACTGGTGGTGGCATTGGCTGTGGCCAGGAGGGTGGCTGTGGAGCTGTGAGCTGCCGTGTCAGGTGGTGCCGCCCAGACTGCCGCGTGGAGGACACCTGCCTGCCCCCCTGCCAGCCAAGCTGCTGTGGAACCAGCTGTGGCACTGGTGGTGGCATTGGCTGTGGCCAGGAAGGTGGCTGTGGAGCTGTGAGCTGCCGTGTCAGGTGGTGCCGTCCAGACTGCCGCGTGGAGGACACCTGCCTGCCCCCTTGCTGCGTGGTGAGCTGCACACCCCCAACCTGCTGCCAGCTGCACCATGCCCAGGCCTCCTGCTGCCGCCCATCCTACTGTGGACAGTCCTGCTGCCGCCCACTCTGCTGCTGCTACTGCTGCCCACCCACGGGCTGTGAGTCTACCTGCTGCCAGCCTACCTGTTAAAAGCAGGTTGATGATTTTTAATTGCCCAGGACACAGTATCTCTAACCTGTTCATCTCTTGACCACCCTGGACCACTATCACATTCTTGGACTTCTTTCATTTTCTCTTCATGAGGGCTACCAAGTTCACGAGCCTCACAGGTCTACCTGATTCCATTCTACAAGGAATACCTTCCTGCTCCACTGTGGACACCAAAGTGCTGCAAACCCATTTGATGACCATCAGATTGCTTTGGATATACTATTTTTGCTATTCTTGCAGGATTGAAAATTACTGACATATTGTGGAATTCATCTGTGAGAACTGTCCACAAGTCTAAAATTTCCCAGCTTTATGATCCATTTTTATCTTCTGTTTCCTGAATTTTTTTCCAACATCAAAGGCACGAGAGTATAGCCAACTGACATTCCTCAGATGCCACCAGACAATATGGAAGGTCTTCACACAACATTCAACTTCTGACGGAGGCTGGACCTTTCCACATTGCAACAGATGATCCAAGCCTTGTTTTTTGGATTATAATGATCTTGTCTTCTGGCTCTTTCAGTTATACCCGAGATATAATGTCTTCTGTCATTTCTAAATAAATATTATATCCTGGGCAATTAAACCATGCTCTTTGTTTCCACTTACATATAAAGTGGTTTAAATACTAATAATTCAAGAATGTCTACTTGAAATAAGTTCACTTATTTCTTTTTTTTAAAGAGTAATGCCATATATGGTGCATTCATTCACTCATTCATTTCATAAAAATGTATTGACTACCAGTTCTACAGAAGGGGTTATGGAGATCAGAAAGATGCAGAGTTAATTCTTATTCCTAAGGACCTTATTATCCAGAAGGAAAAACAATAGATGTATGAAAATAGCCACATAAAATGCCATAAGATAAATTGTATTCTCTCAGCAGTTGGTAGAAGAATTCCTCTTGGGGGATAGATGCTTTGTGGCCAATATGCCTTGAGAGGTTTACCTGCAATAGTATCACCAGGGGACGTGCATGTTGGCAGCTCCATAAACCTAAGAGAAGGATGTGAAACAATTACACCTGAGAAAATACTATGTTTACTCCAGAAAAGGAGTGAGGAGAAAAGAGAAGAGAGGGGCAACCTAGTCAGGAGATCATGAATTTTGCTATATGATCTCTCCCCATTGAGCTAACAAATTCACACAATCCTTAGGATGGGTCAACTTTTCTGGGAAACCCAGTGAAGGGGCTGAGTTTCATGTCTGGGTTGATTCACAGGAAGATGAAAGACAGCCCAGGAGCCAGACAGTGCCAGGGGACCACAAGAAAGTAATGCCTCAGGAACTTGCAGAAATCATGGATAGTCACTGCTGTGGAAAGTAGTGTCTTGGTTATATGAACTGCAAAGAAGACAGAAGAGCCAGAAACAGGATTTCAAAAAGGAAGAGATCACTCAGAATCAGCAGAGGCTGGGGGTGAGGAGGGCGCACAAACAGCATGAGGGAAGCTTCAGTAGAGAGATGATATTTGAAGTGAATATGAACTGCAAAGAAGACAGAAGAGCCAGAAACAGGATTTCAAAAAGGAAGAGATCACTCGGAATCAGCAGAGGCTGGGGGTGAGGAGGGCGCACAAACAGCATGAGGGAAGCTTCAGTAGAGAGATGATATTTGAAGTGGTCCTTGAAGGTCATTCCAAATGGAAAGAAAACAATGAACCAAAAAGAGCCCAACACCTACTAGAATGGCTAAATTCAAGCAATGACAACGCCAAATTCTGGTGAAGATGTGGAGCAACAGGAACTCTCATTCATTGCTGGTGGGAATGCAAAATGGTGCAGCCACTTTGGAAGACAGTTTGGCACGTTTTTACAAAGCTAAGCACAGGCTTACTGTACAATCCAGCAATTTTGCTCCTGAGTATTTACCTGAATGAGCTGAAAACATGTCCACACAAAACCTACACATAAATGTTTATAACAGCTTTATTAGTAATTGCCAAAAATTGGAAGCAACCTAGATGTCCTTCACTAGGTGACTGGGTAAACAAATGATGGCGCATCTATACAATGGAATGCTATTTGGTGATAAAAACAAATGATCTATTAAACTATAAAAAGACACAGCGGGGGAGGGGGGGCGGATCTTAAATTCATACTGCTGAGTTAAAGAAGCCAGTCTGAAAAGGCTACTCTGTGATTCCAACTATATAACATTCTGTAAAAGGCAGAACTATGGAGACAGTAAAAAGTTGCCAGAGTGCCCTGCCTGGCTATGCTCTGTAAATCCCTGTAGTCCAACACTAGAATACAAGATTATAAATTAAAAATAAATAAATAAATAAAGTTACAGAAATAGAGAGACATAGGACTGTCCAATGAAACCCAAATTGCGGTCAGCTGTGGGCTTCTAAGAAAGCTTTCCTTTCTTAATTAAAGGGACATGCATTTCTGGTACTCCCACTTCCTCCTCACCCCAACCCTTCTTACTTCAAACACAGATATGATGCCTGGAGCTACAAAATCCCAAGAGAATAGAATAGACACTGATCCTGACAGAGATGTGCATCTGAACCAATGTTAGCAGCTGTCTACCTATAAGAATAAGCCCTAATTAACCAAGCCAATACTTGTTGTCTTTTTCAAAACTTGAAAACTAGAATATTTTGGGCTGGCCCGGTGGGGCACTGCTACAGTGCGCCGCTTGGGAGCACGGCGGCGCTCCCACCGAGGGTTCGGATCCCACATACAGACCGGTTCCCGCTCACTGGCTGAGTGAGGTGCGGGCGCAACACTGAGGGTTGCGATCCCGCCCATTGCCGGTCCCGGTCTGGTACGGGCGCGACACTGAGGGTTGTGATCCGTTGCCGGTCACGAAAAAAGACAAAAAGGAAAAAAAAAAATTAGAATATTTCTGCCTACTACACTCCACAATAGACTGCACTAAGCTCTCAAATTTGCCACTTCCTACATACGACATCTAAGAAGACTGGGGTTGCATAAACAGTTCAGTGATGG